GGTTATTTAATGCCGACAACATTTTACGATAGAGTTGTATGAATAGAATATGTGTTATTTGGTTTAGATTGGTTTGGTTTATTTTGTTTTACAGCATATCAGCCTCGCGGGGTTAATTAATGCTGGCAAAGAAAATAAATTGCTGGTAATATTTTGTTTTGTCAAAAATCTGTTTCCTTCAAAATTGTATTGCTGGTAATAATTTTTTTTCAAAAATATATTGCTGGTAATAGTTAACTATTTGCCCATAGCTGAGACCCTAACAGGTGCTACAATCCTTGGTCAGGGTAGACTTGGGAACACCAGCAATTAAGAGGTGGTTCCACGGTCCTCAAAACCTCCTGATCAGAGGCCTTGCTGCTGGACGTAGTCTAACTTCTTATCCAGGACGCAGATGTAGTCTAACGTCTTACCCAGGACGCGGATGTAGTGTAACGTCTTATCCAGGACGCGGATGTAATCTAACGTCTTATCCAGGACGAAAATTGAGATAAATTTTCTTAATATTATTTTATTTTCTCTCTCTCTCTCTTTCTTTCACTCTCTCTCTTTCTTTCACTCTTTCTTTTCTCTCTCTCTCTCTCTCTCTCTCTCTCTCTTTCTTTCTCAACATGTCCTATCGGTAGACCTTGGTGAGCGGCAAGGAGCGCAATTTATGCTAATATGCAGGAAAGATGTATATATGTTTCTTATTTCGATTTTCTTCTCCCTTGATGATGTGAGCATTCGCTTACTATGTCCCTTTACATGAGGGATCATGGCTCTCTACAACATCCTATCCTTTGATCTTCTGAAATTCAGTAGGTGCTAAATCTGGTGAGTATAATGAATATGCAAGACTCTTCCATCGAAAAGATTTCGTTTTTCTTGTGTTTGCTTTGCAATGTTTGTCCTTGCATTGGTATACTGGAAAATAATAACTTTGTCCTTGCATTGGTATACTTGAAAATATCTATAGAGCTGGAATATCGTTGCACAGGTTTAACCTGCACAAATGTATTTACATGTCTCTTTTGTAATATATCCTTTCGGAATTCATATAGTAAGAGAAGTGATGACAAAATTATTCTCAAAACAGTTTTGTAACGTTCAATATTTGTTCTGCTTTGATTGGAGTGGTGAAATACATACAATCAACAACAAAGTTGTTCATACATACAGGAATATTTTTAGCCATTTCTCAGAATCTAATGACCGTACGCTACTAGGGTTTTATATGTTAATAAGCGCAAAGAAAAAAAATATAAAACTCGATTTTCAGAAGAATACATTAAATATAAAAAAAAACATTGAAAGCCGAATTATGCAAAATAGGAAGAGTCAAAATTATTAATACAAATTGATTGATTCGTGTCGGTATAAGTAACGTAAATAATTATTTCATCGGCGAAGTCTTCAAGACTATTTGTTCAGTAGAATATTTGTGATATTTCCAGCAAAGAACATCATGTGATGCGGAGATTGTCACCATTGTTATTCTTAAGTTAACAACACAATGAGGAAGACACAGGAGCCTAGTTTGACTTGAGACAGAATTATTAACTTCTACAATTCGGGAAATAGTAACCAACACTATTTACAAACGGTTAGCTATGATTAGATCTAAGTTACATTCCGTTTAAAAAAAAAAGTGTAACCAGTGTGGCACTACAGAGAATTTGCCTGGGAATGGAGGAAAAACAAACTGTCACCGAGAACTGCACCAAAACTTCATCGCAAGATTAATACAAACCCAAGAGATATTTTGACAGAACAAAGGTTTGGATACGATGTATATCAGCCTAAATATTCGCACGATATAACGTTTTTCTGTTGTTGTTTTTTAATAAAAACACGTTGTATAGAAACCGACCACTACGAACACATCTTCACAATCCATGTTACATTGTTGCTCGTTTTTATTTTGCCAAAACGTTCTTAGACAAAAAATTGTTTTTGTGAACTAGCACTATTGAGTATTGAAATAAAAGTTGAGCTTTTTAGACATAATGATGTACAGAAGATATGGCGCAAGAATGGTAGGGCTCTCCTCCCGAAGAACACAGTGGCAACATTAAAACATGGAGACAGATCAATGATGTTTTCGGGTTGCTTTGGCTCATGAGGGACTGTTCAATTAATTGCAATAAGAGGAATAATGAAATCTTCAGACTATATCAAAATTCTGGATGAAAATCTACAACTGTCAGCACAAAACCTTCATATGTCGGCGATTTATTTTCCGGCAAGATAATGATCCGAAACATACGTCCAAATCACTGACTGCCTGGTTTCAGAAAAAAAGAAAGAAAAAGAATACTGTTCTGTCATGACCTTCAATGAATCCTGACTTGATTCCTATCGAAAATCTATGGCATGAATTGAAATTTCCAATAAATCGTCGGTCACCCCCCCCAAAAAAAAAACTTCTGGAATTAGAACGTGTAACCAATAGAAAATAGAAGAAATCCCAGAAAAGACTCGATCAAATCTCATTAATATATTTATAAAACGATTGCAGCAAATTATAAAGATGAGAGGCTATTTATTGACTATAAATATTGTGAAAATTTTTCAATTTGTTTTATTTTTCATAGTGTACGAATAATCTTATCATTTCCTATTTTGCAGAATTCACTTTCACATGTGTTGTATTGAACTTATTGTTCTGAAAATTAAGATTTACGTTTTACTTTTTTGTGCTTATTAACACATAAAAATCCTGGCATCATACGGGCATTATATTCTGATAAGTGGATAAAAATATTCAAAATTGATAGGTGTACGACTAATTTCATCCTTGACTGAAGATATTTTCTGAACACGGCAACTGTAGTGAAATAGGAAATGAACTGTATTTGTGTGTTTATGTTTGTGTCTGAGTGGGAGTACGTGTATGTTTTATATATATATATATATATATATATATATATATATATATATATATATATATATATGTGTGTGTGTGTGTGTGTGTTTGCGTGAGTACATATTTATGTGTGTGTGTGTACATTTGCGGCTGTGTATCTGAGTGCGTGTATGTATGTATGCATATATGTGTGTGTGTTATATATATATATATATATATATATATATATATATATATATATATGGGGTGGGGGTGAGTTTGTTTACCCACGCGCGTGAGTGTTGTGTGTGATCATTGTCTAGGTTCCATGCTGCGTAGATAAATTAAAATGTATCCATATCAATTACTATTTAATCACTGTAGAACATTTTTATGTTCATTTTTCATTGCGCTGCATGCGTATGTGTGTATGTATGTGTGTGTATATATGTGTGTGTGAATAGATAGATAGATAGATAGATAGATAGATAGATAGATAGATAGATAGATAGATAGATAGATTTTGAAGAGATACGATATAAAAGAAGAACTGACAAGCAAGTACTGAAAGATGAGAAAAAACTTGGCGGAAGAAAAGAAAACACAAACACATTTCTACGTTTTTGAAAAACAAACAAACCACTGAAAAATAATTGTAATGGAAAATATTAAAGAAGTCGTTCAAGTTATCAACAAAATAAAAAATAAAATAAAACAAAGAAAAAGCCGTTTTTGATGGAAACTACGTTGAAATGTTACATGAAAAGAGGACAGTTAATAAGAGGACACAAAAAAGAACTTTAAAAATGAACCAAAGCAAATAATTCAAATAAAATATAACGGCTTGTAAGTGAACATTTCGCTGAAGAAAACAAGCATTTGATGATAAATTTTCAAAGAAAACAAAGCAACGTATTAGCCAAACACAATAATAAAATTATGAAGGAATTTAAAATTGGAAATTTTTGATGAAAACGGAAACAACGAATTATCTTGTACTTCATGTTTTCCTTTCACAAATTCCTGTTTTCAATTCCACCTTTAGCTGTTGAACTTGTTCATAAATTAGTTAAAATCTCTTCCGAAGGTTTACAAACAGGTGATTAATAAATGAACAAGGGTCAGACATGTTATGTTGAGAAACAATATTTATGTTATTATCCCTGTTAGCAGTGAGGGAGATGGTGAAAGAAAACATGTAGAAGGAAGGGTATGAAAGATTTCACAGAATTGTTAAGATGAAGACTGAAGATGAAAAGAGATATGCATCATAGAGAGTGAAAAGAATAGGAAAACAACTCAAAAACAGATCGTAAATAAACTGAAACAAATTTCCGTAATTGTAGTTTAAATTCTAATTAAATGATATTATATAGCTGCTGTCTAATAAAAAAAAAATTATTCAAATTCGAAAAGAAGAACTTCTAAAAATTAATTTAGTAATTTAAAACCTGGGCTGCTCACAGCCATGTACAAATTATGACTGAGGATACTATATGAAGGACGAAAGTCGCTGAAATATTTAATATATATTCGTTTAAAAAGATCCAATTTTGAAACACTCTTTTCATATTTAGTTATAAAAAAAGATATCAATGATCATGAAATTAAATTTATAGAGACCATAGAAGTTTAAAAACCTGTACCACAGATTCCCTTGGAAAAAGGTTTACAAACAGACATGTTGTGGCTTACGGCTACATTACATTGAAATATAAGTTCACGTAAGAACACCAAGCCTGTACAGTACCAAGATGGGTGACCGTCCCGAAATAGCAGGTTCTGTAAATTTGGATATGCGAGTGGTGTAACAATATTTCCTGGCGTTAAATAACATTCAAAGTGTTGATAAGCCGTAAATAATGAATAAATCAATCAAATATGAATATCATGCATGACGTCCAAGCCGTTCAGAAATGTCTAAGCGATTATTTATATTAAAAGAACTCTTACAATCTAAATATATTTCCTAGCTTTAAATGACCATCAAAAGTTTGATAAGCAGTAAAAATGGATGAATCAATCAGGGTTTGTTGTAATTCTTTCTTATATCTAAAAGTCAACATCAGTTACAAATATTAATATTTGTAGAAACATCTGTGTCGTTAATTAATGAACTGTTCTAATTACATCATTTAATTTTCCTCTAATTAATTGCTAATGGATTTATTTTAACTGATTTAGTAAGTGTTGTGGAAATCTGATTAAATCAATATTAGTATCAACTCCTCACGTAATAAACTAATAGTAATTAACTGAAGTATTTTCAAAGTATTTGCAAATATATTCCAATGGAACACTTTGTAGGCTTAAGGGCAGCTGTCGGTCGGGGAACATTTTTTAATGAGCGGTAGCTGCTCCGTATAAAGAATTATAAAGCGAAAAGATGCAAAAAGTTCACATTTCTCTCTCTCTAACTATATATATATATATATATATATATATATATATATATATATATATCGTATCTAACGTAGAGGATTTCTTGCTGACAAGACGCCATGATATAATTTCTTGAGAACTCAATTCCCAGACATAGCAGGTGTCACATGGCGAACCAGTACAATTTTCTTTCATTTTCTTGTCTGTGTTGCACTCTCTGTCGGTCTGGTTAGAGGTCGATCCCAGCGTGCGTTACCACTGGAAACCGCACCACGGGTTGATCCAAGCTTTGCGAGGGAAACTGGCTAGAGTGAACTCTAGGGAGCCTACGATAGCTGTGCTGGCACGAAAGCCGCAGGCGGTTGTTGGCCTTGTTCAAATTGTAGAACACGCTTGATAACTCAGAAACTGTAACTAAGGTCTGCTCAGCATAGCGCCTGAGCGCGCATCTTCTAGGGATTGGGTACCCACAGATTACCTATATATATATATATATATATATATATATATATATATATATATATATATATATATATATATATATATATATATATATATATATATATATAATGGTGTAACTCTCTTGGAAAAACCTTGGGTATTTTCGGCTTGTAGTAGAATAAAACAGTACCCAATAAAAAAAAAGAGGAATATAAAAAGAAAGAACCAATAACATGAAACTGAGACGAAAACAATTGTCCAGAGTTCAAGCTCAGAGAAAAGAAAACAAACTCCAAAACGCATTACCCTAACGGTCCGTTTAGGTGAAACCTAGGTAGGTTTGCCTAACTCCTTAATTTATCTTATTGTATATTTATATATAATCGAATCTCCCGTCGCGTTCGATGTATGAGGTATAAATATATATTTGTTTATATATACTTTTTTTGGAGGGACGAATACAGAAATATATGCACCGAATGCATGCCACAAGGTTCCCAAACGACCCTATATATATATATGCCATATATAGAATATCTGTCCGCTATTTTACCCATATGGGAGATGAAGAGGAACATGTATAAGGGTATTAAATTAAGTGAATGCAATGGATTTTAAATAATATCCACTGCTCCACCGTGCCTCCTTCATATATATATATGGAATGAACATGTATACGTTCACTTATTTAAATAATATTTTTCAAGGAACTTTCACATTTTTAACTGCTTACAATAAAGAATTATGAGATATCATTATATCTATATTTGAAGTGTTGAATACGTGTTAAATACAATTTTTATCCAATTTTTATCGTACATTTTCAGATTAATAAAGAAACAGTAGTACTGAAACTATAAACGCAGATTCCTAAACGTATTTCATTTGCAAAAGTCTTCTAATGCATGTTCATCTTGCTTTGGCATTTTTCCTTGTAATTTTATTGTGAATCAGTCAATATTCGTTAGTTGTAATGAATTATAAAAATTATTAAAAAAAAACAAAACAAAACAGAGGAGCAGTTAATCATTAAGTAAACAGATATGTGTATATTGAGAGAAATGATGACAATGACATTGACTGAACATGTGAGTAACGACGAAGTTTCAAAGGATAACGAGAGATTAGAAGCCAAAAGAGACAGCTGGAATATCTCGGACGCATCGTAATGAAAGCAGGCTGGAATTGTTTGGCACTCACATTAAAGGTAAAAGAAGCAGGACATACCTAAAGAGCTTGTGTTTATAGGTTGATCACAAACAATGAAAGGAAACGATAACGAAAAAAAAATCTTACTATATTTTACAAAGAATAGAAAGTTGTAGAGAGCTATGACCGGCCACGTCCTAAACGGACATGGCAAATCAAAATCAGAAATCTATTTATTCTTTAGGGTAGATCGAAAACAAAGAACGTTAAAGTTATGAATCTTTTCTATAATTACAAAAGCAGTAAGTTGTGGAGAGATATGAACGCAATATAAGATGGAGATGATATATAAAAAAAGTATTTTTTACAAATCAGACAGAATATTTAGCCGTTTTATTTTGTACATCTCAGCAAAACAATATGAAAAAATTTAATCTATCAAATGTTGGCATTTATGTATTTAAGTAAATTAATCCAGTTAATTGTCACATTATTTTTCATTTATTTAATTTATTTGCAAATATATGATGTATCTATGATGAATATAGTTTCTTATTGGTACTATTCAAATAATGCTATTATTTCTACTTTTAGAAACCTTTGAGGTCAATTGCAATTAATTACAATTTCCCTCTTTTAGATCATCACAGCTGAGTTTTGGTTTAAGTTTGCATATTTTGTTTAATTTTATTACTCGTGTTTCGTATTAATTGCCTCTTATCAATGATTCTGTTCTTTCTGCTTCGATTTTGAATCTGGAATGATCTTAATATAATAATTAGTTAAATGCCTAAGAAATATAAATGCTCGTATTAATTTGAAAAAAAAATAGGAACACACTTTTAAACAAGTGACTGTGAAAAACTAAATAGCATGTAATAAATTTATCTCTCATTAGAATCGACTATATATAAATATGTATAATATACATACATACACAAACATACACAAATATATATATATATATATATATATATATATATATATATATATATATATATATATATATATGTATGTATGTATTATTATATATGCGCAAGTACTTAGTGGAAAGCACACAGTATCAGTGACAGAGCTAAAAGATATTGTCTGATGATCGCAAAAGCGAGAAACCCAGGTTCGCAAACTCATCCCCTGCAACTATATATATATATATATATATATATATATATATATATATATATGTATATATATATATATATATATATATATATATATATATATATATATATATATAATATAAATATACGGACTTTTTCATGTATGTATAAATACGACAGATTTTATCAAAATATATGTTTTTTGTAGTGGATACCCATAGGTGAGTAGAATCACGGTATATTTTTTAAAACAGTACATTTAGCTATTTTCGTCTACCGGCCTTTATATTCGACTCATCTATATTGAAAAAATATTACACTCTGCATATTTTTTTCGTTAATAATATTTATTGAATATTCAGACCGATAGGTGGAAATAAATAAATATAGTCTTTAAAAATTTAACAGACCATCCACTCAAATATGGTTATCCACTATAGTTAATATAAAATGATTATATATATATATATATATATATATATATATATATATATATATATATATATATATATATATATATATATATATATATATATATATATATATATATATATATATATATATATATATATATATATATATATATATATATATATATATATATATATACATATATATATATATATATATATATGTGTGTGTGTTTTCAATATGATGTGTGTTTGTGTATGATAATTTATGACAAATGTATGCATGGTTATATATATATATATATATATATATATATATATATATATATATAAAAATGTGTGTTCGCATGTGATGACGTTACGCATGTGATGCGTTGCGTCCTTTAGAATTTCCTCGGAATAAATTTGATTTTAGCACGATAAGTTCAAAAGGACGAAAACATTTTTCACTTTGTTATACTTTTTTCCAAAATATTTTCTTGGTATATAGAAATATATACCGTTATCCAATTTTTCACTCCTTTTTGGACCCTCATAGGTGCTTAGCTCACGTGCCAAATATTAGAGGTGGATTTCCTAATTGATCTCCTTGTAAACTCATGAAGATTCCCCTCAACTCCGGTTTTTTGAAACTTACTCACCGATCGTACTTGAATAAACATCGTAGATGGAAGTCAGATTATTAATGGTGGTAACATTACTGAAAGCTCGAATGA